TCTTCTTCAATAACAGTCAAACAAGACCAAAGTTCAAACGTGCTAGGATAGACCAAACAGATAGGGCCGGAATGTTGGAAGCTCTTCCATGGCCGATCGAAGTCTTGCACCAAGGGGCATGCCGGCCGCTGGTGACCAAGAACAAAGCCGGATACGAAGTGACGTTGATCCTCCCGACTTTGGTGGATGCTGTCTTTGGAGTGTATATGATAAAGCCCTAAGGCTCCATGTACCTATCTGTTTTATACTTCGGCCTTGAAGGGGGTCAGCGGGCAGTACCCTCACTTCTCTACTCAGGGGCAGAAGCAAGTTGGCATGCTGGCTCCAGTGGTTTAGGTTGTCAAGTGTCTCTCTTAACTCCACAACAACCTTTCTGATGAAACATGGCCTGAATTCAACACCAACAAATCATACCAACACTCTCAAGCAAGTCATTTACTTGGGATTGCCTAAGTTGCTGCGCTTCCTGATCCAGGAAAGGATTTTTGACAAAGCGCCGCGGGTCTGAGTTTCGCCGGCTGTTTCGACTGTCCGCAGCGCAGCATGTGAAAACAAAAGTAGGCCAAAGAAGCACGGCAGAAAAGGCTGGTTATATTAAAGTGGAATGAACCGGTTTGCTTTGTTAGGTTCCTGATACTTACCCAGAGGCCTCATAGTAGTTCCTTTGTGGGATAGCCTTACAGGTTTCTATGTAAAGGAGTTTCCGAAAATGGGGCACCCTAATAAGGTACCTCAAAATTGGACTACAAAACATGGTACCCCCATTTTCGGAAACTCCCATATGAACCCCCGAAAGGAACTACAATGGGGCCTCTGGGTCACCCCAACCGGCCCTACAGCCCTAACACTAAACCCTAAATCCTAAGCCCAAGCTTGCACCCTAAACCCCCAAACCCTAAACCCCTAAACCCTGAACCCCCGACTGAAAGCGCTTAGAAACCAAAATTGCTTTAGGGTGTGGTGCTGCGGGCTCTATGATTACCAGGCTCTGATTCTGTCTCCTGCACTTACACTGCACTTACTACGGTTCTCTTCCTATTCTCCAGTGCTTCTCCGGCCAGAAAACTGCGAAAAGAGCTAACTATATGTATGTGAGCAGACCAAGCTGAACTGGTTGAGGGGTCAGTACAGGGTTGAGGGCTTGGCAGTTTAGGGTTTAAGGCTCTACGGTACAGGAGCATAATGGCTCAGGTTGTAGAGGGTTGAGGGTTTTTGGACATGTAAGATTTAAGTGGATTTGCGGGTCAGGGGGGTTAGAGGTTTAGGGTTGAGGGGTTTAGGGTCTAGGGCTAGGGTGTGGGCCTTCCTTCAGTTATCAGGATGTAGGGAACAGTTACTGCTGTATATCCGTCTTCGAACCGAAGAGCTTTGAATCGACGGCCTACTTTTCAGAATTAGACTAGGTTCTGGCAGGTGCGTCAGCATGTGACTATAACTCCTTTACTACGGAGCAACAAAAGTACAAGATGAGAAACTAATCAGGCTTCTATCTTAGTCGGTTTTAGGATTTGCAGTTCAACTCGGGTTCAGGAAGGTTTCGGGTTTAGGGATTAAATGTCATTCATACCAGGCTTCGATCAGCTGCCTTCCTTCACATATGGTAGAAGCCAGAAAGTTGGAACATCAATATCCCCATCCCCCCGAAGGGAAAGTATCAGGGATGCTAGCGCTAATCCTCCTAAATCCATGTTCCAACTTTCTGGCTTCTACTATGTGTCAAGCGGAATGAGGGGCTTCATACCTACTTGGAAGAATAGTAGAATCACTATTCACTATTCAAGGAAGGGGGTCAATTTGCGATACTATCTAATAAAGCTCTCTTTAGAGGGGGGGAGTTGATGAAATACCAGGATTTGTAATAGTCCCTATTACGGGAGGTGTTTGTTCCTTCCTTTTTCTCTTTCGGGCCTTGCTGCATGTGTATGGATTCCGATCAAAGTCCTTGGCCTTACAAAAGCAAGGCACATGTTTTGAGGGCCTTGATAGAAGCATGCCTGTGAAAGTCACAACTGGGAAAGGGTCGACTAGTTCATTTTGGAATCTATTAGAAAGTACCCCTAGGCTCCATAGTAATGCCTTCTTGGGATTGCCTTATAGGATTCTAAATATGTTCCACAAAAAAGAAACTATGGAGCCTATGGGTAGTTCTGAGATTCCATTTAACATCCCTGTGAAAGGACTGGGGTGTTGTGAATCTTAGTTGCTGAATTCATAAGCCCCCAAAAGTGTACACTTTCAGTTTTATTGGGTAATACTATCCCAAAAAGTGCAAAGTGTATCCACTCAGCAGGACTCGGGGTGTTGTGAATAAACTCGCTTTCTCTAAGGATCTTCATCTTCGGGGTCCTCAGGGAGGTGGTTTAGGGTTTAGGGCTTCGGGTTTAGGGTTAGGGACGGTGAGCTTACTAAATTAGGCTCCTTTAAAGGGTCCTTTAAGGGTTCTATAAGGGCTCTTTAAGGGATTTAGCGATATACCGGCCTCAATAATTAGAATATGGTTTGGGGATATTGAACTACAATTCTACAATTAAGAAAAGGAACCCTAAGGAATAACATTTTGGTGGTATGCTATGACCAAAAACAAGGAACCCTAACATAGTATAGGTAGTTAATGAGGCTTCTACATTAATGATTTACTCTCTGTCCTTAAGGGCCTCGGTAGGGGATCAAGAGTGAGCCGAGGCGTCACTGGGCTGCCACTTTCTGGAGGGCCGCTGGCAGAAAGGATTTGGTGCAGAACTCACCACCCCTGAGCTGCTTTCTCTCTTTCGGGGTTTAGGGGCAGGTTAGGGTTTAGGGTTTAGGGTTTCGGGTCTAGGGTTTAGGACTTTCTCTTGCGGGTTTAGGGTTTGGGTGTATGTGACGCTTGGCCGGGGTTTCGGGAGGGAAGTTCTTGGGTGTGGGTTTTGGGGTTTCTAAGGCTCGAGCTTCGAGGTTTACTGCTTCAATTCGGGAAGGGTGTATTGAGAGTTTTGGGAAATTAAGCTTGCCCCACCACGGCCCCTGCAGGGCGGGTTCAGGTGCTGTTTGCACGTTGTAGGTTAGGTATAGGTCTTTGGCTTAGGGACAGTTCTAAGGCGAGAACCACACCGCAGGTTTATACAGCGTAGGACTTTAAACCGTCGATCCTGCTCACAAAACACACGACACGTGTCAAATGCGCAAGGCCTACTTGGAGGATCGTCGCGGTTATAAGTACTTATGCATTAAACTAAGTAGTTGGCGCGTTTATGTCGGACTTAGAAGCAAGCCCGCTAACTCAGTTGTTGGACTTATTGTAGGCGTCCGTGGGACCATATGCTAACTCAGTTAGGGGCGCAGGGCTAACTCAGTTAGCGCGCTTATGCTAAGTGGGCAGTCGGACTTAGCCTAAGTCCGCCAAGTGGGTTAGGGGCCGTATTGCTAAGTAGGCTAAGTGGGTTCGCGGGGCACGACAAACGAGGCTGAAATGCGGTGTTTTAGCGACCGTTTGCACTGTTTAAATCAAGGGTCAAAATGCCAAACAATGTCTTTGTATAGACATGTTTTTGATAATAACTATGTTATGTTTATGTATGTGTTTGATGTGTATATACGTATATACCTGTAAAAAATATGCACATGTATAGGTGTATGTAGGAATATGTATATGTATATGTATATGTATATGTATATGTATATGTAAATGTGAATGTAAATGTAAATGTATATGTATATGTATATGTATATGTATATGTGTATGTATATGTACATGTAGATGTATAGATATAGATGTATATGTATGTATATATGTATATATGTATACATGTATGTACATTTATATGTATGTATAAATGTACATATACATATATGTTTGTATGTATGCTAAATGTATGCATGTATATATATATATATATATACATATCTATATACGTAAGAATGAATGTATGTTTGTATATATATATATATATATATATGCTTATGTATATGTCTTTAGAGGTACGCCTGCATAAAAGTTCAATATTTACTCAACAACTAGAAGCGCAATACACTTCAACCTTACATGCCACCCCTGTACATTCGTAAAAACCCTATATATACAATCACTTAATTATACACCCGATAAATCAAGAAATATAAATATAAAAATAAATATGAATATAAATATAAATACAAATATAACTATAAATATAAATATCAATATCAATATATACATACATACATACATACATACACACATACATACACACATGCATGCATACATACACATGGCGAGCATATATATTCATATATATATATATATATATGTATATGTGTGTATATACAGATACACATCTCCACTGAAAACCCTATCTACCTATCTATCTTTATGTCTGTATACAGATCTATCTATATATATATATATACAAACACCCGTTAGATATATCTTTGTGCTACATAAGCAGCTATTAATAAATAAATACATATATATATATATATGCACCAAACCCCAGAGTCCATGGGCACGGCAGTGGCCGGAAAGAGCATGACATAGGCGGCAGCCTGCATCGACAAGGGGTCGCGGGGCAAAGGGTCGAAAACAGGGAAGTTGACATGCTAGGTGATTCGGGGAGTTGGAGATATACACGGTTTAGTTTCGCGCACAGACACGAGCACTCTACAACCATGCACTTCCTGTAGATAATACTTCAGCAAAGGGCTCGATGTTCGCACGATGCTTGCCAGTTCGGAGGCGGGTGCAAAGACTTCTATAGCTATGGATCATAAATTCAATCAAGGACACCATATGTATTGTGTATAACTGCATATAATGCATGCGGACTCAGCGGTACATTCGTTTGAGGATCGTTTTTTAGATAAAAGGTTCATGTGTTGACCGAAGTTTTCGCAGGCGACTGCGATCCTTTTTGGGACGATCCGCGCGGTTTAGGGTATATGGTTCGCAACATCCCTTACAGAGATGTTTGCTGACTGTGCGAAAATGTCCTGCACAGCATTCTGCGAGATTGGCACTCTGCAGAATGGAGACCATGCCAGCATCTTCACATGGGCATGCTCAGCGGTATGACCAGTGCACGGTCAGTCTCTTTCTTGAAAGCACACAGTCTGCAGATAGCATGTGTTGATCGGAACACAGGCTCGTCACAGGTTCGAAAACGATTTCGGCCCAAAGAACGCCACTCGGACATGCACGTGTAGCCGTGTCCGTTGAACTCGACATGGAACCACACTTGAGCCACTTCGTCGCCGTTGGGCCCATGGACGACGACCACGTCCTCTCGCTTGCACAGCCTGCCATTCCCGACGTGGCAGGACATGCTTACGAGCAGTCCAGGACTGCCTGGCAAGGAGAAGTAGTCGCAAAAAGCCTGTTGCACCTGGCCGGCGGCAGCCTTGGGGTTGACCAGCCCTGCTTTCATTTCGGAGAAGACGAGGAGGTTCTTCATGTGCTCCTCCAATTCCAGTTGGAGAATGTGCCTTTCGGATCCTGCCTGCATGGAGTCGAGGTTATTCGCATACCTCTTAATCTCCTTGTGCCTCCTTTCATGCACAAAGCAGGAGAGTAGCAGGCCATGACGCCGCAGCAAGTCGCCCAGGTGCAGGTTGAAGTGTGCCTTGGGGATGACCTTCTCCACCCCGTAGCAGCGCTTGAACAGCTCCATGTGCGTTTCGATTTTCTGTTCCAGAGCAGCAGCTAGCGTCGAAGGATCCAGTGGTACCGACGTTTTACACAGGAGGTCAAGGACTTCGCATAGAACGAAAAAGCATCGGCAACATTCCTTGCACTGGTTGTCCCGGATGCTTGGCAGCTTCTCCTGCAAGAAGGCCCGCATCACGGGGTACAAAGCCATGGCCTCCGACGCCGAGGACTTGAACTCGGTCACCTTCTTGGCGAAGACTTTCTTCGCGGAGGCGCCTTTGTCACCAACGGCAGCTGGCCATTGACAAGCACTCAGGAAGCTGTGCCTGAACACCGCAAAAATATACTGCTATAAACAAAAACACATCTTTATTCTGAATCTTATTATGTAACTCTTATATTGGAAGGATGCAATGAAAAAACCCTCCGCAAACCCTCCACGAAATCACTTACATTCCGAAGCAATTGTCCAGTGGCATCTCGTCTTGCTGTATGCCCTGCTTCTGCAAAGCCTCCAGGAGCTGTGACATCTCCACATGAAAGACTCCACCCACAACATAGTTGTGCATGTAGTCAAACATGCTCACGGAGATAGGCCTCAAAATCTCCTTCAGCTCAGAAGAAAAGAGCGCCCCATGCTCGCAGAAGTTCAACCCCAGGGCGAATTGCCGCTTTTTAAACTCGCCCTTGTTCATCAAGGGGCGGCACTGGGTGAGGTGTTGCGCAGCTTCCTTTATACTGGCGTCCGTCTGCTGCACCATTTGGCTCTTCTGGTGGCTGACGTGGCTCACCAGACTGCCTGTTGCGTCCGTGTTGTGCAGGCCTGATGAATGGGACACAACGTTTTGGCACATGAAGCAGAGCTTCGTGCCGCTTGCTCCTTTGTCTTCCCAAACACTTTTCAGTGCTGCCTCGTCCGCGATCAAGAGGCCTCCGCATACATATTGTACATTCCACGCAAACCCCGGTTCCATGACGGAAAATCAGAAACGTACATACGGTATACAGTACATACATATGTATATACACATATTCAGACATATACATACATCCTTGTGTTGAATGTTTCGAGCTTGGCGTACATACTATTATGTTATCCATTTCCAAGCCGCCCATGCGGCAACAAAGCATCCAGTACTGTTGATTGGGCATGGGCAGACGTACGCCGTGCAGCAGCTGATCTCGCCGGTCCAAGAGGAAGATGGCAAAGATCCTGATAGCTGTGGCCATGATATTCTGTCTATATATATATATACCTTTCCATATGTCTCTGAGCATGTGTTTTCATGCTCCTCCGTATAATATATATTTTTCGATATACACACAGATATCTACGGCATGCATGTTCTTTACAAACAAAAACACAAATCCATCCCTGCAATACGCGTACCTCTTCATGAGCTGCGTCATGCCGTTGCTGAGCCGCTTGACATCCGTGGAACGCACTGCAGTCAGCACGAACCAGGAGTCTTCTTTGCTCAGGGCCAGGCCCCCAAACTGTTTCAGGGAAAAATACAGCACCTGGAGTTTGCGGTCATTTGATGGCTTTAGTTGATTCCCCGGTGACACTTCGTCGACATAAAGGCATATATCCCAAGGATTCGCTGGACTGCAGGGGTTTCTCGCGGCGCAGTTCTGCAGGAACTCCTGGAAGCCACCCCCTTGATTGCAGGCATGCCAAAGCACCGCCAGTGGGTCGATGTAGCTCACCTTGAGTGGCGGCCCCTGAGTCATGGTGAAACCTGAGAGTTCCTTCCACAACGGGCCGTAAGGGGTGGCGAGGTTCATCTTCTCGTCTCGCTTCCGTTTCAAAGTGGCCCTGGATGTTGCGGGTTGGTCCTCCTCTTTTGGCAGAAGCTCTAATATCTCAGCAAGCGCTCGCTGAGACACAAAGGATTTGCGATGGGCATCCAGGATTCTGCTGGCTGCCATCTTCCATAAACCGGGCTGCGAGTGATCTCTGCAACGTCGGGTTGGCGGTCTGCAACCTGCCACCCTCTCTGGACGGAAAGAATCAAGTACACTTGCTATGCTGTTTCATGCAGACCGAACGAGCTATAACACAGTCTTTGTCTGTGATGTCCTTAAATGCATATATATACTGGAAGTATATAGACCCAATTGCCAAGCCAAATATATAATATAGTCATATTGTATAAACCCTCTGCAGGGCGTCTATCTACAAGCAGATCTTTATGTTTAAACTTCATAGCGGAGATTGCAGCAGGATTGCTAAAGTACACTGTGCCATGAGCCCCACATCAGAGCATGTTGCGGATGTCAGCGTTGCATGTCCAGTTCACTGCTGCAACGGGCAACATATGCATGCAGCACTCGCCGAAACTGTCGCATGCAACTGGTGCAGGCGGTGCAGGCGCCCATTTTTTGCAAGGTTCTGGTTGGGTCGCGAGATCACGTCTACAATCGCATCGGCTCTGCAAAACCACGCAACAACTGTCCTATATATAGGATGCGTCTGTGTATATGTACATATACATCTGTATATACATATATACATATACAACACGCAAGACATAATACGGCCGTATACACATACCCAAGCAACGCATGGGCTCCATGAGCGTGAGAGCCAGCGACATGCAGATGAGCAAGGAGCCATGTACAAAGGGCAAAAAGCCCATGCAGGCAGCTTCGATGCGAGAGCACGTTTTGGTATAGAGACATGAGCAGGTGCTTTTAGCAACCAATAAAATTAACAATAACAAGATAAGAATAAGGATACCAATGACAACATCAATAAAGATGACAAGAACATGCCATATGTAGCAATATGATAGCACTATATCATCATCAACATGACAACCATGACAATGACAATCACAACAGTACTAATAAAACTATAGCACAAGAACAATAGTATAAGAACCACTATCTAAGAACCACTATCTAGCAATCACATTTAAAGGACTCCATGGGTGCCAATGTGGTTAAAAGCATAAGAATATATACAGCGCTATATATATGCAACCAGGACAACGGAAAAGCCAACCACATTCACTATATATGTATATAGCAATGCAATCTTGAAAACACGATTATACACGAAGGTGCATGCACCCCTTTGCTCATGCCTCCTTAAAGCCGTGCTTCCGGGCTTCGCCCCTGGTGCGGTAAACTCCGCCGCGCGGGGAGCGATAGTACGTGTCGGTTTGCCCGGCACTGTTCCCGACGCGGCGCTCACGTACCTCCACGACCCAGCCCTTGTTCGGACCTTGGTTGATAGTCGTCTTCTTGGACTGGGACTTCGCCTTCGCTTTGGGGGTGGACTTGGCCTTCACTTTGGCCGTGGCCTTCGCCTTGGCTTTCGGTGCAGCAGTCTCTGCGGCCGCGGGCTTTTTGAGAATGCCGGGCTTCGTCTTTTCGTTGCGGTTCTCCACGGCCTTCTCGACTGCCAAAGCAGCAGCTGCCGCACTGAGCGGCTGACGATCAGGTTCACGTTCCTCGAGCTCTGGCCGCGATGTGTCCGGCATCTCAAACTGGGTGAAGCCCATGTTCGCATCCGTCACTTGCACTTGTGATGGGGCCTGCTGCGTCGGAGACTGCAGCTCGGGCCGCAGCGTCGCAAGCGACTGCTGCGGCTGCGGCGGGGGTGACGACTCCTGTGACGCCTGCCCATGAGCGCCATGCTGCAAATCCGTAGCCTGGCCAGGACTTTGCTTGCCTTGCCCTTGGGAGGCTGCAAGATCCGGAACCCCGGCAAATCTGCGGCAGCGTTCGAGCCACTGGAGCCGGAGGGGTTGCCATTCATGTAGTTCATCATGAAAGATGCGAATTGGGAAGCCATGCCCGCAAACATTTCTTGTTGGCTTGGCTGGTTCGAGGAGAAGCTTGTGCGGGGTTTCTTACTCGGAAGGGCCACTTGGACGTCCTGGGGCCGGAGCTCTGAGCTGCTCTTGCGCATGATGCTGCCCTTCGCGACCGACCCCTCGATGGTAACCGCCGGATCCTCCGGGTTATAGGCTTCCGCACGCACGTGGTCTGGCAGGTCCTGCATGTTGCACGGGAAATCCAAATTCAAGGGCTTATAAAATAGACCAAAATATGTAAGACTTCATTCCAAAATAGTCTATATGTTTAGATATATACCCACATGGATTGCTTCTACAGAGCCTCGATCTTTGTAGCTATATAGAGTACGTGCATGTATATAGCCTTATATTAGCTTCTCTGATATATCTTTCCGAACAGCAACACAACCCAATGTAAGTACAATCTCTTATATATGTAGCTATATACCTGTCCTCTGGTTTGTCAGGGAATGGGTTCGGCAATTCGATGTTCTTGGGCAACTTCTTGACCCGACTCCGGACCATCTTCTTCAGCAACTGTAAGAAGGCATACTGGTCCTGGGCACTGGACATCTCGGCGCCGGCCGCCTGAACCGTCTTGATCACCTCGCTATAGGCTTGTTCACTCGCCAGCCACAACTGAATTTTGACCATCCGGCTTGCGACGACATCTGCATTTGTGTGCATGCTGGCCGACGGGTCGGCCAGCACGCATGCATCGTTCTTGCTCAAGAACTTGTGGAAGCTCAAGAGGTCTTGGTTGGCCCGCCTCACCACGGCACCTCCCTTGCGACCGGTGTTGGCAAGAACATTTGACAGGCATGCGGCAGCGATTGCTCGATCCTCTTGGTCCCATGGCCCTCGGCGAAGGATGGTGCCGATTCTCGTCGCTTGCTCCGCGGTCAGGGTGACGAAGCCAGAGATGTCCTCCAAAACTTGCTTGAGTTGTGTGGCTTTGACGGATTTGAAGGATTTCTCAACCAAATCGGTCTGCTGCTGCATCAAAACCTCGCCCACTGCCAGGATCTTAGCCTCGAGCTCCTGGAAAGTCCCTGCCATGGCTCTGCGAGGCGTTCGAAAGCGTAGAAGCACAACTTGAGAACTGATCACACTGTACAAAAGCATGTGCAAGCGAGCTCGTCAACCCTGCTTGCTGGTCCTGCGGCCACGGCCTGCATGACGTGTAAATGCACACAGAAGCACGCTGCATCTTCGTTTTGTCAAGAACTGCAGTGGCTGCCTCTTCAGAAAAGACTTTATATAGGAGGGAGACAGTTTGCATGGTTTGCGTTTATTTATCACAGATATAGGACTCCGATGCGGTGTCCGGCCCGTCGTGTTGCATCAGACTTGAAGGTGTATGTATATATAAATATATATGTATATACTTGCTCACGTAACTGCATACATACTCAGAATTCACATATATATATATATATATATCTACATAGAAACATAAAAATACATATTACGTAGACACATAAATATATATATATATATATATATATATATAGTTACATATACATATATACAGCATAAATACTGCTCACTGCACAGGGAGAAAAAACTCCCGGAGCCGGCACTCGCCTGCAGTCCGTTTCTGCCGAGTCCGGTATTTTGGGACATAGGCAGGGGGGCATTCATCCATAAAAACCATGCAGTCGAAAATTGTGAGCGGCCTCTGAACATGGGCTGTACTGAGGAGCTGAACACCTACGCCCGGAGGCGGCGTTAATCCATCCTGAACGGCAGAGAGCAAGTCGTACATTGAAATTCCCCCATGCACTGGAAGCTCCAGATCGAGAGCCACGTTGTCGGTGGTCGCGTACTTCATCTGAAACCTCTTGTGAAGTGCCGCTTAGCAGGCAGAAGTATAGATATATTTCTATATATAGATATACAAGACTACATACAGACCCGCTCTGAAACCCAAATACATAACACAGAACTCTATATATAAGCTCGAAACGTAAATCAATTTGAGGCATGCAAGCCCTATATGTATACACAATATATATGACACATCAACTTGCAATGCCATGGGTGCCACCTCACCGTTGTCGGAGTCAGGGAGGCATAGGCCTTGAGCAGGATGCTCCGTTCTGTTCGCGGCCGGAACACCAGCTTCGGAAAGGGAGCCATGTACGATTGGTAGACAAGCATATCCTGTCGGTTGGCACTGATCAGTCGCCAGACAGCGCTGATGTTCCCGCGGGTCTGCAAACCTGCCAACAGCAAGACAATCTCCGTGGGCCGCAAGACGTTTTCCACGGGTGCCCAATCCTGGGGAATGAGCGACACGCCGTCGCCTGATGGCTGTGGGTTCTCAATGAATTCCCACAGCTCTGCCATGATACTCGTGAGTGAGTTAAAGTACCCTGACATTGCTTGAGCGAGGTTGCACATATACACCCCTGCTCAGCGTGCAAGGCGAACATCTTCTGCCAGCACAGACTGCATGCATCGCATCCATGAACATTCCGAGCGAACTCCCCAAAGAACCCCCCGTCGGTCTGTCTTTTATATGTATACAAATGCGACATGTGCACATGCTTGAGCTGCACGCTTGCTACGACGGCTATATATATATATATATACTGGCATGTCCGCTATATAGCTGTCATCTCCCACACAACACTTACGCGCACTCCCTGTCTCCATCTTCCATGGCACCGCCGCTTTACTCCTTGTCTCTTGTTCCCTCCCCCGTATATAGACATACCCAAGTATCGGAACCGGCCCGCCACATCCATGCTCAGGCATGCTATATAATGTCCCTGCAGGCAGCTTTCAGGACACAAGGCTTCAGTCTACAGGAAGCAACACGTGCAATGCAGTCACATCCATGCAGGCTGCAAGCTTGTAAAACATGTATCTCATCTGATTTTTTTGGCTGAAGCTGCAAGTCGCAGAGGTTCTGCACCACCTCTAAAGTGTATATGTACAGATTTCGTTCAAAAGACTTTGGTCACCGAGCAGAAACCCATACAGAGAAAACATTTAGAAAGGGTTGAAAGGATGTTGATTGCTATGTAAGAACACGGACCTTTGTCACGAACCGTATATATACTATATACACCTGTTTACGGCAGTATAAGATCTACGGATACATTTGTGATTTATCATCTGTTGCCGATCTAGTCCGTGACCGGTAGGAAAAACTCCCTGAGGCGGCACTCTCCTGGCTCCGTCTTCTCAAGGATGCGATAACGTGGCTTGTAATTTGGCTGTGATGACCCTCGAACATACAGCATACAGTCAAACACAGACATAACCCTCTCATCGTGCGCTGTGCTCATGATCTGCAAGGCCGCATCTTCAGGAGGCTTGATGCTGTCACGGAGGTACCACTGCAACTCGTAAAAGGAGATGCCGTCCACCCCATGGATCCGTATGTCTGCAGCCACATTGTTTGTCGCCTTGTATCTCGCCTGAAACCTGCATGGGTTTATCAGGGCGTGGAAGCGAGACTACATGTTATATGTAAATATATATATATATATATATATATACGTATACATATAAATATGTTCTATATAGTCTTATTTCAGCATGTTCTATATACACGTATATGTATGCGTGTATATGTATATATATATATATACATATATATATATATATATACACAGTGTGCCATGTGTTTATGTATGTATGTGAAACTGTATATATATATAGTCAAGCAACGAAGAGGAATTACGAAACTACGTGCTTCCTATCAATCAGAATTGCAGAGGCATCTCTCTATATGTCTATGCGTCTGCACAGGGCTGCCATGCTGAAAGCCCAACCTTACCCATGTTGTTCCTCGGATGATGGAGGCGTACACTTCCAGGATGATGTTGTAGCGACGCCTGGGCCGGACGATGATGTTGTTGGCCGGGTTCGTGAGGGACTGGTAGAGCCGCATCTCAAAGCTGTCTGCAGTGAGACAATGCCACGCTTGCCCTTCATACCAAAACCCATCATCTTCCCGCCCGTTGTCCAGGCCAAGGATCATTTCGTAGTTCGTGACCGGTTGCCACGCCTGCTCCACCAGGGAGACGCCGTCTCCGGTCGGCCGGACACCACGGCAAAACTCCCATTGCACTGCAGCCATGGCTTTGGAACGCAAGAGTCCTGCTTTTAGGCCGCGGAATGCTGCGATCCGCAACATATACATTTGCTGAGCGAGGTTGAGACCCCTGCTCTGTGTGCTTGGCGAGGCTTCTCTGCCAGCACAGTCGCATGCACGTAATGAGATTTTTTTGTGGTCCTTGCAAGCAGCTGACAATCGAGGCTCTTTGAAATCAAAACTGCAGATGCGACGAGGGTCTGCAAATCAGGTTGTGTCCATGACTGCACCTCTCTCGCTAAAAGTTCACGGGTTCAAACAGCTTCTGAAGTGCGACCGTGTTGGCAGCCGTTTTCCTGAGGACACGCTTCCGCGGCTTTAGTGCGGCGTGTGCCCTTGGTCCCCACACAAACGTCAAAACTTGGCTCAAAAGCCCCCCCGTCACGGAACTGACCAGGATCACTTGCTGCTGGCGTGTGATGAGGTCTGCCTCCGCAGCTCTCTCCTTAAAGGATGCCTCCAAGTCACGGATGCTGATGTTCTTTTGATCGCAAAAGTCCACGGTCGTCATCAGGCGAGCAGAGGAGCACGAGACAGCCGAGAACCTACACTGTGTGGGTTTAAGTTCATGTTTGTAACCAGGACCCTTCCCATATATTCAAGCAATATACAAAGGTAAATAGCATACAATTCCATGCAGCCTCACCAGACCCTCCTCAGGGTTGTGGTCGGCGTGGACGCACCACATGAAGTTGTCCTTGACTTGGCGCAAGAGAAGCTTCTCCATTCCCGAGTTCTGCCACAGGGTCAGGTCCGAAGCCTCGTCCTCCACGACCTTGCGGAATCGGCTGTACTTGCCCTTCGTGCGGATGACGATGAAGGCGTTGTTTTCCATGAGTCGCTGCGAGTTCGCTTTCGAAACAGGCAGCCACTCCTGCGACTTCGGCAGGTCATCGCCCCACGTCCACTGTCCGGACAGCACGGCCATCTCCCACAACTTCCCGGCCATGGTCGCTGCTTCTAGGCTACAGATCTTAAGTGCTGTTGCGAGAACCTCTGCAATCAGCCCGGCAGCGGAAAGATGTCCTGCTGCCAGAAAATCAGGAATGGAAGGGAGTGTTGCTTCACCTGCATCTGCTATACCTTTCGACATCACAACAGACGACCTCTCTATCTCAGCAATGCAACGTCACGGCAGTTCCTGTGTGTGTGTGTACACATATATATATATATATAACACATATATGTGTGTGTGTTTCGGATGTATAATGTACACGCAGCAAATCTCTGCAACCAGCCCGGCAGCGGAAAGACATGCTGCCAAATATTTCCACGCATGTCAGGAACATATAGAAGCTGTAAAGCAGAAACCCTGCATGCATCCGCGGTCCTGTGTGTTCTTAAAAACCACGACAAAAAACTACCTATACTATACGGCTACTGTACTATACTATACTTATATACTACGACACTACTATAGTACTACTATACTATGGTACTATATTACCACTTGTAGACTCTATGTTGCTTTCCAAAGCACTGCATGATGCAGCAGGCCCGCACGGGGTCGCTGCATAGTTTGGCAGAGTGAAATCGCCGACCGACAGCAACGGGAGCAACAACAAGCAAAAATTACTACTAGGTACACAGCTCTATATATATATATATATATATATACTACGTATATACAGGTATACTATACTACTACTATACACTATACCACTACTACTGCTATATACACTATATACATACTATATACTATATACTATATACTATATACTATATACTATATACTATATACTATATACGATATACTATATACTATATACTACTACTACTACTACTACTACTACTACTACTACTACTACTACTACTACCACTACTACTACTATACTACTACTACTACTACTACTACTACTACTACTACTACTACTACTACTACTACTACTACTACTACTATACTACTACTACTACTACTACTACTACTACTACTACTACTACTACTACTACTATAATACTTTTATTACTACTATACTACTATACTACTACTACTACTACTACTACTACTACTACTACCACTACTATACTACTAGTACTACTACTACTACTACTACTACTACTACTACTACTACTACTACTACTACTACTACTACTACTACTACTACTACTACTACTACTACTACTACTACTACTACTACTACTACTACTACTTATTACTACTACTACTACTACTACTACTACTACTACTACTACTACTACTACTACTACTACTACTACTACTACTACTACTACTACTACTACTACTACTACTACTACTACTACTACTACTACTACTACTACTACTACTACTAACTTACTACTACTACTATTACTACTACTACTACTACTACTACTACTACTACTACTACTACTACTACTACTACTACTATCTACTACTATCTACTACTATCTACTACTATCTACTACTATCTACTACTACTACTACTACTACTACTACTACTACTACTACTACTACTACTACTACTACTACTACTACTACTACTACTACTACTAGACTACTACTACTACTACTACTACTACTACTACTACTACTACTACTACTACTACTACTACTACTACTACTACTACAAAGCTGCCCAACACGCTGCGACAGTGTTTTTTGACCATGGAGAAATGTATGCGGATCCCTTAGGGATGCCGCACAACCTTCAAGCAGTGTCGCGCCAGCGACACGCGGCGTCGCCCATGCACTGGAATTCCTGGCCACAACCTCTGGTTTGGCCTGTGTCGAGCCGGTCGCCACACGAAACGGTGCGGCGACCGGCTCAAACACTTAAAGGTGCGGCTTCCAAGCACTTGGATGCCGGCATCCGCCGGTATGTTTCTGGGGGCGCACCGGTAAATGAGCTCACAGATCTCGCCCACTGTGATCGTTGAGGCGTGCGTAACCATGAGGTCCAGGCACTGCTCGTTGCTCAGTGCGTACCGAAATTGCAACCTGCAGGCCATACAGTCATTGTGCTATTTATGGTTAAGGGTTTATACTTATAATGGGTTTATGGGTTTAGTATAAGGGATGGTTTAGGGGGGGGGGGCAGGACTATATATAGAAACCAACATCTACACACATAACCAAAACAAAATGAAAGTCTCAGGCACCGCAGCCGATCCCGTGACATGTAGCGGTGGAACATTGTCAGGATCACAATGCCACCGTCCAGAATTGGAGGTGTGCATTCGAAAAGCTCCTCCGGAGTCATGGGTGCTCCTGCGGGACGTTGTACGGGTCGGAGCGCTGCCAGAGCAGCGTCGCGCTGCGTCGCCCTCCGAAGGCCGGGAGGTGTCACTGGCTGCATGGCAAGGCCTCCCTAAACAACGATTGTTCGATCCGCAATGCTCCGCGGCAAAGCCTGCAGAGACGACCCCGCGAGCTCTAGGCTCTGCGAGGCTTCCGTGTTGGCTGTGTAACGGCCAATTCAATCTAGGTTGATGAAATTCAGCCCAATGTGTTTCCACATTGGGCGAATTTTTTCAATGTGGAAATCGTTGGTTGTTATTTTTTTTTTAGACCCAATGTGGAAACACATTGAGCGATAGTCGCCCAATGTGTTTCCACATTGGGTGAATTATTTCAATGTGGAAACCTATCCGGGCTATCTTTTTTTTTTTCCCCAATGTGTTTCCACATTGGGTGTTTTTTTTCAATGTGCTTTCACATTGTGTTCCCGATCTCGTTGTTGTTGGGATTGTTTCTGTTTGCTGTTGTGCTGCTGTGTTGCACAGTAGAACGAAGCCACCTCCCACATGAAACCATGCACTGCGTGCGCCTCGGAACGCACCTCGTGACCTTCCAAAAGCAACATCGTATTCGAAGACCTAACACCTGAGACCCACCAAAACCCATCCCTTTTAACTCTCTCATGCACGCAATCTAACCCCTGACATGCAAAGAACTCTCACGCGGCAACACTGTAGGATGTAGTATAGTCGTAGTCGTCGTAGTAGTATAGTAGTAGTAGTAGTAGTAGTAGTAGTAGTAGTAGTAGTAGTAGGAGTAGTAGTAGTAGTAGTAGTAGTAGTAGTAGTATAGGTGGTGGTGGTGGTGGTGGTGGTGGTGGTGGTGGTGGTGGTGGTGATAGCATAGCATAGCATAGTGAAGCATATAGTATAGTATAGTAGTATAATCGCAGCGATATAGCACCAGCAGCAGCAGCAGCAGTAGTAGTAATCTAGATTGATAATATATATATATATATAAATAAAAAGATACACAGTCCCCTCTATACATTCACCTGAAGCAACGTCGCTCCCCCTTGTCTAGATACTTGGAGGCCCTTTTGACTTAGTAAGTAGGGTTAATAAGGTGAGTTATGGGGATTATAATGGGGTTTCTATAGGGGATATACTAAGTATAGACTTACTAAGTCACAAGGGCCCCCAAGTATCCTAGCTATATCATGCATAGTTTTTGTCCTACATATGAACTATTTATAGTACATGTATGTAATACATTGTATATGTATATATATATATATATATATAACATTAACTACCTATAAAACCACAATCTCTCCTATATATGACTGTACAAGGCAATCCTACATATGCTTTATGTAGTATGTAATATCTATATATATATATATATATATATATATACATATATATATATATATGTGGTTATATGATGTATAACATGCGCTACCCATAAACCCACAATCTATCCTATATATATATATATATATATATATATATATATATATGACTACATACACAGCGGGCGCGATGCGACCAAAAGGTTTTGCTCAGCCAAGGACGGCGAGGAGGTTGGGCTTGCTGGCATCGAGTCCACACGGTCATTTATCATACTTATGTTCACCAACCATATGTAGAAAGTCACACCATTAATTTGGAATATTCATGAAATACAATGTGAAAAGGATTCATCCCCAAACTATACCGGAAACGTAGGATTATCTTTCGCTATACCCGTGGTCCTCGGAATGCCCTGTGCCAAGCCAATTTCCCGGTGAAACGTGGCTCCAGCTGTTTCTTGTTATGATCTATGATAATAAGGAACCCGCTCCAAATGGTACAGGTATTTGTATCTATATAGGTCCCCTACAGACTGCTTCTGGCCCTCAGCTCGGGGTCCCAGGACCCTGAAGCCCCAATGAGCTGATGCTCCAGCTTTTTTTTATGATCTATGATAATAAGGAACCCGCTCCAAATGGCACAGGTAATTGTTATCTATATAGGGCCCCTAGATGACTGCTTCTGGCCCTCACCTCGGGGTCCCAGGGCCCTGAAGCCCCAGGCTTCAAAGCAGGCAGCTGATGCCACAACTCGTGCCAGCTATACCTTCCCGGGGGCAGGAGACATATTGGCAAACTGGATGTGCGGCAGCCCAGTACTACAGTAGTAGTAGTAGTAGTATAGTCGTATAGTATAGTGGTAGTATAGTAGTAGTTGTTGTTGTTCCTGTTTGTGTTGTACCAGTAGTAGCAGTCATAGTGGTAAAACTATTATAGTAGTAGTAGTATAGTAGTAGTATAGTACTAGTAGTAGTAGTAGTAGTAGTAGTAGTATAGTAGTAGTATATAGTCGTAGTAGTAGTGTCGTCGTATATAGTAGTAGTAGTATAGTGTATAGTATAGTAGTACATGGGTATAGTATGGTATTACTACTATTAGTATCATTTTAGTAGCAGGTGTATGGTATAGTATACAATCTATACCGCGTAACAAAGTGTAATCTAGTATAGTGTAGCGTATAGTAGTAGTAGTAGTAGTAGTAGTAGTAGTAGTAGTAGTAGTAGTAGTAGTAGTAGTAGTAGTAGTAGTAGTATTAGTAGTAGTAGTAGTATTAGTATAGTAGTATAGTAGTAGTAGTAGTAGTAGTAGTAGTAGTAGTAGTAGTAGTAGTAGTAGTAGTAATAGTATATAGTAGTAGTAGTGGTACTAGTATAGTAGTATAGTAGTAGCAGCAGTAGTATATTAGTAGTAATAGTAGTAGTATAGTAGTTGTAGTAGTAGTAGTATATCGTATAGTTAAAGTGTTACTAGTAGTATATATATGTAGTATATAGTAGTAGTGTTATGCGCTACCACTCCGGCCACACTTCACAGATCACCTCAGTGGGCAGGACAGCCAATTGCGAGGCATTCTATGGCAGATGTGTTTCATCGACTTGCCCATAAACCGCATTTGTTGGAGCTTAAGAAGTATCGATTTTAAAGAGTTCTCAGTATTATATCCCCTTTAAGGCTTCAGGGATTAGGACCTTTTTTGGTTGGGGGTACCGGGTACTTATGACTCTACTTGGGCACCATGGTCGCATGAAGCACATCAGCCATCTTAGAAAGCCCGTTCACCGCTCGGTGAAGGACTTCTTTCTCGGCCTTGTGCCGTCTTTTCTGCTGCTCTTTTTGCCCTCCTCTCACACGCGGCTTCCATCTGCCTTCGCCCGGCCTGAGCCACGGTTTAAGGTTTATAGGGTTTATCTAGGGTTTAGGGAATAGGCCTGGGAGTTTGGAGTAATTGGAAGAATGTTAATTTGGTTTATATTCATTTTGAATAATTATGTAACTACAAGGTGATATAATAGACAACCCTGTCAGACCGCTTAAACCCATATGTAAATACGCAAAGGGACATACACGCATGCATGTGGCAGCAGTATAGAAAGCAACTGTGTAGATACAAGTACAAGCATAAATATACATATGTAGGTATGTTCACGTATGTTATTTAGGAAGCATGTACTATGCATGTGAAAAGTATATGTAAGTCTTCTATATAACTATATATATTCTTATGTACTATAATTAAACGCAAACATATCTACATAAGTCCAGTGACTTGTGGGTCACCCCATTGGCATCGACGAAGCCGGCGCCGTTGGGCAGGTAAAACCCGCCACGCCCGTCGGGCCGGTAGTCACCCATGCCCCTGTACCCGCTGGAGCTCGAGGATCTCTGCTCATCCATGGACCTGAGATTTGATACAATACATGCGAGTACAAGGAGTCTATATAGGACCCTATACATATATAGATATAAATACAAATACAAATACAAATATAAAATACATCTATATATATAAATATACATATATATATATATATGTTTATATGTATATATTTATGTATATTGCATGGGGTGTATATATATATATGTACATATATATGTGTATATATATATAGCGGACTGCATACATTCCTATATGTTGATTATGATAATGTGCTTCTGGATCGCATCCATTGTGCATGCAAATTGAAATCTATAATATGCACACTTCTTCAAATCATGAGATATATACTGTTATATAGATGATAATACATAAGTCGAAAACCCGGAATAGAACCAAAAGAAGAAACCTTGTCTAAACATATATAACATTAACAGCCCTGAGTACGATAACAAGCTTCATGCATGTTTGTCTAACAGACCGCTGCATGCATAAAAGCTCTTGACCTGGATATGTATATATATATATATATATAGCTCTATATATATATATATATATATATATACATACACATGTCTATATATACATACATATAAATATACATAAAACATAATTATACATATATATATATATATATATATATATATATTATGTATACATATCTATAGAAATATATACATGTACATACATTGCATGTCGAGTCGCCCTGACTCCGACTTGCCCCTCCAGTTCTGCCAGTTGGTCCAGGAAGACTTCTGCCGCTTTCCCCCCCAACCACCATTGCCCCAGCCATCGTCGGCCTCGCGCTTGACGCTGTACCACCCACGCCAGCTCCGCTCTTCCTCATACTTGATGTCCTCCTGGAGCTCTTCCTTCCACTCGTCCTCTTCCTCGTCCTTCCACCATGCTTCGTCCTGAGGACAGACATGAAACAATATGCACGAAGGAGTGCTTCGTTATAGGGTGGATATATAGAGGATTTTGCCCTATATTATCTTATTGTTCTTTAGACTCCATACGAGATCCCCTGAGCGAGCTTTGTGTAAGGAGTGGGGTTTATTCGGAGAAAAGTTTCAGGGACCCGCCAATCTAGACCGCAAACACATGTGTTTGCCTTAAAGTGGGATTACACATTTTGGGCGGTTTTACAGAATTAAACCCCATGTCTACACAGCTTATTATGGGTGCTCTATATAAGATATTACTTCAAGGGTTTTTGACGTTCACGCCGGACCTGGCCCTCCTCTTCGAATGCCTCCTCGTCCCCCATGTCACGACATGTGACCAAACCAAATCCCTCATCATCGCCCTCTTCCTTTGCCATGGCGCCGCAAAAAAACCCAAAGGGTCCAGAGGCACCTCTATATTGTAATTACGCCAATATAGACATTATAGGAATCGTTACTATATTGATCGCACAACTCTATCGGACCCTTCGGGTGTTGCCCTCTAGCGCCCAAAGCCCAAAGTGTTAGCACTTGCAGCCTATCACCCGGAACCGTCCAGGCAACGTAACGGAACTGCCAGCAAGCTACCTTCTGAAACCTAAATTGGGATTTGCGACTCTGCTATAACACCCACATAACTTACTCCAGAGAGCCCAATCACAGATGCAATGTAAGGCCAACTATAAGTTAAATCTGCTCTGAATCTATATAAGGATTGACCTATGATCTGAAGCATGTACATCGAAACCCAAAGTATCCCAAACTCGCATGCCGCTGTTTCCTCGCTGCTGCATGTGCTGCGGCGGGCGGCACTTGGAAATCAGGGGTTTAGGGATTCAAGGATTTATAATAGGGCCTCAAAGGGTGTAGGGGTTTTAAGGGTTTAGATATATACATTTATACATATATAGGGCGTTGTAAAGGGTTCTATAATGGGACTTTCTGCGGATGGGGGTTTAATGTTAAAAAGCTTATGTCCAGATAGGAGTGTCGGGGATTTGGGTTTAGTGCGCTATAGAGGGATATATAAGCGCTTACAAGGTTTCCGGCTTTGCGGCTGTTGGGCCTTTGGCCTATATATAGGCTTTTATATCCTATATAGGGTTTAAGGGTTCAGGGGCATAGTCGTCCAGGGGCTGCAAGATTTCGGGCTGCATGCACTCCAAGGGTTTCATAGAAGTTTGGGGTTTGGAGGCGTTTGGGCTTCTGTGTGTTTGGGCTTTGAGGCTCTATATATATGGGGTATATATACGGCTTTAGCATTTTGGGCGCTTATACATATAGTCGTTCAGGGGTGTTGGGCTTTCGGGCTTCTATACATAGGGGGTTTCAGGCTTTGTAAGGATTTAAAGGGGCGGTAAAGTTTAGTGGCTCAGGGGCGTTCCGGGGTTTAGGCGTTACAAGGCTTCAGGGTTTCGGGCTTCAG